TGGAATTAGCAAACTGTGTAAAAACAAAATCTAAGATAATCACAAGTTGTTCATCTGACAGCTGAAAAGTTGCTATGTTAATATACTGATAAAGAAAATTATCATTTAAAATATCTGTAAATTTATATTCAATTTCATTCTCATTTGAAATTGCATCAAAACAGCCGTTTGACCAGCTGGTTGATGAAATATTAAAGTCGCCCATGATAAGTAAGTATTTGAACTAATTTTTGTCAATATATTTGCGTACCAGGTCGAAAACCACATCGAATTCTGCCATATCTAAAAAATCATTTGGCCTGTTGATACATTCAAGTAAATACTTGTCATTATCAAAATAAACAACTGCCCACATTTGCTCTAGTTTATATGGATTTAGAACAGCATCATTTAGTTTATAGAAGTCTAATGAGTTGTCTATATATAAACAAACATCCCCCCCCCTCCTTTTCGTCCGTTTGATCTGTCTTTTCTAATCAGATGGTATTCTTCAATGTATACAACTGAATCACTTTTAAACCATGTCTCAGTCAGAAAATTTACATTTGGTTTGTATTGTTCAATTACCACTTGAACTCATTTAACATGTTATCAAGAGAGGTAACATTTAGGTATAAACATGACAGCTTTTTAATTTCATTGTAATCTGACACTGAATTATGTAAAAATTTATTGATCTGATTTTTTTTTTTTAATTTGATGACCTTATTGCCACGGATTCTTACCAAAAGGGGTCATTGTCTGTTCTTGCTTGATTCATTTTATTTCTTTCAGTTCTGAGGTTAAAGTCTTGAAGTCACTGAGCCTCAGTCAAATCTGGACTAAGATAAATATCTTTATGTGCAACATTACTTCTCAATTTTTTAGCTGGTGCTAATATTGTGTTGCAAAGAATATCCTCAGCTAATTCAACAAGAATTGAATCTGGTTTATTAGTTTTAAATCTCAGCCGTCTAACAAATTTTGGTATTACATTCTCTTGATTTATGAGCTTAAAAATTTCATTTACTTTAGACTCGTCTTCTTTTGATTTCATTTCTATGCTTTCTTTAGTTGATTCGGCTACTATAAGTAATGACATTTTTTGCTCTTGTTTTTCTTTCGTCTAACTGAGTAATTGCTACATTTGACAATAAGCTGTTTGAAAATAAGAGACCAGTTACTGAGAGACTTGCTTGACTCAGCTGCTTTATTTATTTCTGTCTTTTTGATGTTTTCATCATTTTAAGTTGTTGTTGTTTTTAGTTGTATCAAGCGTTCAAAGAGTTTCAAAAAAGCGTTATAAAGCTGGCTACACCAATTATGAATATCTTTAGTTGTTCGAGAGTGTGAACCGGCATCTAATTTTAGGCAATTGAAAATCTAAATTCATTCCTTTACTGATATTGTCTACTCTCTTCATTGATCAGGGCTCTTTTTGTGAGTTTATTAAATTATTAATGCAAACAGAAATTTTAGTTTTTGTGTTTTTTTTCCGTTTTTTTATTTGTTCGTTTACTTTTTCGGAAACTTTAGAAGTGTTCTCAATTAGATTTGTTCTCAAAATGTTCTCAGTAAGATTTGTGCTAGTCCTAAGGTTATCTTGTACAATTTTACAGAAAAAAAGTTTCAGTGTTAAACTAAATCCTTATTTCATACCTTTAATTAAAAAAATCTATTAGTTTCTAGGCTGCATATACTGCATAATAATGGGCAGTCTCAATCTTGCTGTTGCCATTTATAAAGTTCATCTCTGGTCAAAAAAATTGCAGTTAAAAGTAGCCAATTATAAGTTTTTTACTCATAGAATTGTACCTACATCATAGTACCTACATCATGAAGATTGTACCTACATCATGAAGATATAAATTACAACTATCAATTAGATCATAATTTAACCTGGTCTAAAAAGCCAAAAGATCTTGGTGTGACCATGGATTCTTACTTAAATTTCCTTAAGTGTTTTAAAAGTTGCAATTCGTTACAGTAAAAGCCTACACTGCCTACATAAGACCGATCTTAGAATATTACTCTCCGGTTTGGTCGCCAAACCACATTGAAATGAACAAAACAGTGGAAAGAGTGCAAAGACGTTTTACCATGGAAGTATAAAACAGATGGAAGTTTATCGAGCCGCAAACATTAAAGCAATTTCAAGTCGTCTCGGGAGTATGCTTGAAACCGACAATTAAAAAAAAAAAAGTTTTGCTGGACAAAAATCAACAAAATTTACTGAAATGATTTTTATTAAAACATCAAAAAATGAATTATTCTAGGGATATGTTTCAAAGTTTTAACCATTAGTAATTGCAATTATTCAGCAAAAGGTTTATTAAAACTCGGTAATTAAATAGAACCTCGTAATTTTAAAAGCACATGTTAGTTAAAGTTTCTTTTCTAGTTTCAAGTCATAACATAACATTTGATTAAAAAGAAAAATAAAACAATTTTTAAAAACTCAAAAAAATTGTTTTCTAAATAACTAAAGTTTAAAGTTTTATTAGATGTATATCATAATTCCATTCATTCTTGTAGTACTCCATTCATTTAACATAAAGTTTATAAAGAAGTTGTTGTTCGCCGTTTCGTTGCGCCATTTTTAATGTTTTTCTTGAATATTATTGACGAACCTTAAAAATATAGTATTTTGGTATCTATCTATATATATATAGGTACCTATTAGCGTCAACGTATAAAGATTAAGCGTTTATGTACAGTCTTGATGTCTTTTCTTATTGTTTACGAAAGAAAAAGTTTCAAGCTTAATCCCAAAGAATTTCAATACGGTTGAACTTCCATCTGTTTTTTACTTCCATGGTGTTATTGAGAGAATTGCTAACCTAAATAACTTTTCATAGTTTAATAGACTTAGAATTCTTGGCTTGGAACTACAAGAATTTTGTCGCTATATGCATGATACAAAATTATGTACAATTTAATTTGCCTAAATAAGTAAAGTTTCTTTTTAATTAAAAACTATATTTACACCTAAGGTCACAATTTCAAGTTACGCAAACTAAAGTGTAAGCTCGATGTCCGTAAATACTCTTTCTCACTAAGGGTTGTTAATATTTGGAATAACATGACGTTGTTAATGCCAAAAATATCAAGTTCTTCATATTTTACAGACCTGCGTGTCCTTTAGAACGTAAATCGCTGTTTTAATAAAACTTAATCCAGTTTTAACTTTCTGCCAATATTTTAAATTTTAAAATAAAACAAAAACAAAAAAAAAACTTTTCAGTACATTTTCAATGTCAATTTCTAAAAATATGATTCATTTTAGATTTTTCTGAAGATGAAAATATATTGTACAGACATATTACTATTTTTATTAACTGTTTTGGGGTACTCTGGTAATAAACTTAAACCTTAAATTTCCGACCCGGTGTGATAGTCCAAAAAAAAAAAAAAAAAAAAGCAATTAGTACTCAATTTATTCAATGTTTTAAAAATAGATCAATCAGAGGCCACCCTTGGCGTAGGCAGGAAAAGCGGGTTCCTAGGGCCCCGTTCGCCAGGCAGCCCTATACCACCTCTGGCCGCACATACTAAGTAGCAAATGTGATGTTAGAACCCCGTGCGGGGCCGCGGCAGCAAGGAAGCACATTGTCCTGGCTGCCTAGGGCCCCACAAATTTCGCCAAGAGCTCCGCAAAACCAAGGGCCGCCCCTGACATCAATATATATGAAACAAAGAGAAACTAGTAAAAAATGGGGGTCAATTGCACCTAAAGACTACGGGCACTATGATTCATTTTTTTTTTTTATTTATTTGAATTTTCATGCTATATTTTTCTATACAATATTCTTATATCCGAAGATATTGTTGGCTTAGCATAGGAGCAGCCACAAGTAGTCATTAAGACTAATCCAGAGTAGCGTCCGTTATTGACCAACATTTTTGCGTACCGAAGTACTACTCAAGCGTTGAGTTGGCGATGGCAGGATTTGAACTCGTATCTTAAAACTGTCAAGGTTTAAACTTTTTGTTCGACGCTTTAACCAACTGAGATATCCAGCCACACACAAAAAAAAGTTTTTTTTTTAATGGAAAGTCCTTAATATCAAACGTTATTTTCAGCTATTTATCTTCTTTAGTATTGAAGCTCCTGTAGTGGCTCCTGTATCCCTTATTAAAATGTTAAAACCATCTGAAACCTAATTTTTATTATCTATAGTTGATAATAAAAATAAATGGTTTTTGTTAGTATGACTAAATATAAAATTATTCTTTTCAAAAAAAAGAAAATTATTTTTAAATTAAAGTTGAACCTCAAAAGTTATAAGTTTAAAACTATAAAATATTGAATTATTTTTTTTGCTTACACAATAAATAATGATAAAAAACAAGCAATTTCAGATATTGTGTCTCCTCCATTTAGTTTATATTTCGTTAATTTACTTGGTAACCTGTTTCAATTTATGTTTCTTTTTTAAATTCAATAAAAAAAAATAATGATAATTAAACAAGTTACTTCAGACAAAACGTCTCCATTTAAACGTTATGATGCTACAAGATGTATTTATTAAAAAACCGCAATTTAATATTTTTGTACGGCCAATATATTCTTAATTGCCACTTAATTTTAAGACATTATATAAAATCATAAAACAAGGTGAAAATTAAGAACTTCAAAACTTTTTTAATCATTATTTTTCGTTTAGATTTAAGCTAATTTTTTTGAGTTTAAATTTAGATTTTTTAAGGTTATTTAGGTAGCATTTAACTAGAAGTTCACGCCTCCTTCTGTACCAATGTCGCTTATTGGGTTGGAGCCGGCATCGAACCTCTTGGTTCTGAGCCAGAACTCTAACCACTGCGCCACGGCTGCTCATTATGTCCGCATTAAACACTCCAGGCATAAAAATAATGTCAAAATAAAAGTCTAACATTTAGACAAAATTATGTCAAAAAATGTCGATAGAAAATGTCTGATATATTTTATATAATCAGAAAATGTTTTTTTTGATTATATTTTATATAATCAGAAAAAAAAAAAAAAAAAAAAAAAAAAACGGTTTTCATTTTATTTGTAACCAAAAAATAGTAAAAGTATGTACAAAAAAAATTGTAAAAATAAAAATAAAAAAAAAACGTAAAAAAAAGAGAACACATTGTGACTTGTTTTTGATGGACTAAAGAAAAGCGCGTTCTTTGTAACTCAATGCTGCCAGTGGACTCATTTAAGACGATTCCCAAAAAGATTAACCAATATAAAATGTTTACATTTTATGGATTTCTTTCACTGACTTCAATGTTTCTAAAATTAGCCATCAAAAATAAACAATAATACTAGTCTATTGACATTATTATAAAGCAGATAGTCATTTGAGCCAAAATATAACATGAGAACTTGAATGAATGAATAAACATTGCTTTACTTACCTGGCTCTGAATGGATTTCAGCAGCTCCTTTCCCAGAAAGAATAATAAGATCGTCTAAAAAAAATACATCATGAAAATATATGGAAACAAAAACAAAACAAATCTTAAAAAAAAGTATGTGTATATGTGTATATAGAAATATATATACGCATATACTATTTATATGATATATAATATTTTTATAAACTTTTTATAAACTTAACCAACACAGTGATATAAACTATGCTGTATGATATAAACTATAATATAAACTATGATATGATATAAACTGTATGATATAAACTATGATATAAACTAAGCCTTTATTTCTTTAAAATATTTACTGAGAAGTAAAGAAAATATTAGACACTAAAGTTCCAAGTTTCATTGGTAGTACTAGTTTAAAAGCTTTATACAAAATTTTAAATTTGGTAACACAACCATTTTTTAATTAAGGGGTCTTCCATAAAGTACGTACGCAGGTATGGGAGAAGAGTGGAAGGGGTTACTTAAAAACGAAAGAATACGGACAGGGGTGGGAGTGGAGGGTAATGGTATTAAAGACAACGAGTACGTACGCGGTTTGACTACCTTTCGTTCTATATCTCTGGATTTCATACATTTTTTAACGAAACCATTTTAATTCACGAGTTTAAAAAATCTATATTATGTTGTGACAGAGAAAAGTCTAGCTAACTAAAAAATTTATTGTTTTGAATGTTTTGAAAATTTTGCGTTGGGAAGGGAAGAGGGGTTAATTTTAAAAAAATAATGCGTACGTAGGCAGAGGGGATGGGGTCATACAGATGCGTACAAAGCACAGCGGGCCAGTTACTTATTGCATTTCTTAAAAACTAAAAATTTGCGTTTTAAAACTTCAACTTTTTGTGTGTTTCGCTTATTTTCAACTATTACTATTATATTTTTAAAAAGTAGAATTTAAGTTTTTCTTATATAATATATTTTTTCATAAATCTTCTCAAATTTCAATCAAAGTATAAAACAAAATAAAACAACTACTAAAATACATAAAACGCGACGGGGCAGCGTCATGAAAACAGGTGAATCAAATGTGTTAATTTTCTACATTCCAAAAGTATCTCTTTTATTTAAAAATAAAAAGCTACTATGTTTACAGCATCAAAATATTCAATAAATGGCTAAAAACCTCATATTTTATCTTTCCGTAAACAGTAAAAACGTTAAAATCAAATTAGTTAGTTTTCTCTCATAGCAATTTACTTTCATAATCTCTTTATAGTCGTTTGAATAAATTACCTAAAGAAAAGGTTTCAGCTTTTATATAACTGCTGCCCCAAAGTAATTAGTTAAAATCTTAAACTTGTAGATTTTAAATAAACGGCGTTTTTTGAAAACGAAAGGGCCTGAACGCTATATTTTTCTTCGGATCTCTCCATAACTACGTTGAGTATAGACAAAAATCAAAATTTTGACATGATTCGATCTGTCTAAAAATCATATGCAATATTCTAATGATATATCTGATTAAAGTTCTGAAAATTTTTTTATAATTTTGTATACATTGTTACACAGTTTTATTAAATTACTTTTGCATTACAATAGTATTGAATATTTTATTACAATTTAACATTTCAAAGGTAATACTTAGCCAGAGTTATGGATGCTAATGTCATTTTAAGGTTTAATAAATAAATATTAGAATAGGTATAACACAAAAATTTAATTTTATTACTTAAATTTGCCAAATTAAATGCATCTTTTTTGGGGCAGGTTAAGACAGCAAATGAATGGTTATAAACTGTTCTTTATCATGTAAGGCCAACATAATACTTAGTTTTACGGACGTAGACAGTTGTATTCAAGCTTCACATTGAGTACAACTTGGTTGCTATGGTACTAAATTTTACATAGTAAGAACTTATTTTTGCATTAACGATATTTTAATAGTTTTTTATTCGTGCTATGTATATTATATATATGTGTATTAAATCGAGATTTACACTTCTTAAGAAAGTTATAATTTTAATTGGTTGCTATGGATACCTAATTTTTAATTTATTTTCGCAAAACAACAGTATTGATTGCTACTTCATTACATTTTAACATTCAAGGTAATACTTAGCTACAGTAATGGATGCTAATATCATTTTAAGCTGTTATAAATGAATAATAGAACTGGCATAACATTAAAGCTTTATTTCATTATTTAAATGTGCCAAATATCATTGAAATTACCATGGTAGATGGTAAAGTGGTATTAGAATTATCAGTTGAGACCAATGCATCACAGTCCTGCTCAGTGTGTGGCAGCACACCAAAAGAGATAAACAATATTGAAAAATGTTACAGTCTACAGTATGGCTTATCATCATTATGTGCATAGATTAGAACAATGGAATGCTGTCTTTATCTTGCTTACAAATTGGATAACCAAAAGTAGCAGGCGCGCAGTACAAAAGAAAATTTATCTGTGCTGACAGACAAAAAAAAAAGAATCCAAGATGCTTTTAAAAATCGTCTTGAATTAATTATTAATGTGCCCAGATCTGGTTGTTCTGGGACATCCAATAATGGAAATACAGCTCGTCATTTTTTCCAATCTGAAAGTATTGTGAATGAAATTTTAAAGCTTTATGTTGAAAGTTGGATGTTATTACTGCTGAAAAAGTTACATGTCATCTTGGCTACATTGTCATCAGCTTTGCTAATTTATGCAGAGCATGTCAAAAGTACCGCCTTTAGGTAAGTTTATTTGTTAATATTGTTTCTATACTGAGCAGTGGCTAACTTAGCGTTGTAATTACATGATTAATTGCTTCTTTTAGGTGGCTTATTTGTTTGCACAGTGCTACTATAGCATTACATGCCATAAAGTTTGCATAAGATATTATTACACGAACATGAGGTTGTGAGAAAAATCGTCTTGCCTATTGGAATGCTCTCTGAAGAGGGACAGGAAGCATGAAACAAGAACTTCAAACATTTCTGTGAAAACTACACACGCAAATGCAGTCGTTCGAAAACTAACTATGATGCTTTATGCCAAATTTTGTGCTCATCAGACTCAATAATGAGGTCAAATTCTCAAAATTCAAAATCTCAATCCCAGAAGGAGTTACTGATTTGCTTCAGACTCCGACTGTCAACTCATCCAAAATTTTATCTCTTATTTTATGCATGAATGCATGTTTTAGAAATTATTAATGTGTTTTAAATTGTCAATGTTTTATTGCAATATTTTTTGCTTTTAATATTATTAACCTAAATCTTTACCTAAAATTAACTACCTAAATATTCAATATTTAATAGTTATTTAAAATAAGCCTATATCTTATTTTAATAAATATCTTTGTGAGCTAAGGAAAGTATCTAGTTGTTAAGCAATATAGGTAATCATTTTACTACTTTTTTACAATTTTACTACATTTTACAACTGCAAATCCTCAAGTTTAGCCAGGGATGAGGAGGTTAGAAGTCAAGCGTTTTGAGGTATTTTTGTTCCCAGGCTTCCATAATTGCAATACTTGGCAAAACATCCTCATTTGGCATAGACATAAACATACTTAAATTTGGACTTCGCACAATATGTGAATATGCAAACATTGAATAATCCTGCAGGCACCCATGTGTGTGTGTGTGTGTGTGTGTGTGTGTGTGTGTGTGTGTGTGTGTGTGTGTATGTGTGTGTGTCTATATATATATATATATATATATATATATATATATATATATATATATATATATATATATATATATATATATATATATATATATATATATATATATATATATATATATATATATATATATATATATATATATATATATATATATGCCTCCAAAGGTTAAACACCAAATCCTAACATGTAACCTCATACCATAAGGGAGCCTCCTGATGCTAGACACAGGAGTCACATCAAAAACAAAACTTTTCTCCTACTCTCTAAAAAAAACTCCACAAAAAAAAAGTAAAGGTACTTTTATGACTCCACAATAACTTATTCGATTGCTCTGTGGCCCAGTTATGTGCACTTGTGTAAACATCTTTCAATATCAATTAAATACTAATTAATTTTACCAAAGCTGCACAAGCTCACTGATTGCTATAAACAATACAACTATACTTTAAATTAATAACCAATATGGTTTTCAATCTTCTCGTTCTTATGCTGACTGTCTGAATGTAACTGAAAGATTTTATTGTGCATTAGATGGGGGCAGCGAGGCAGAGCTATTGCTCTTGATATATCCAAAACTTTAGACAAAGTTTTTGGAATGCTGGTCATCTCCACAAGCTTGCTTCATATGGTATATCTGGAAAAGTTTTTAAGATTATCAAATCATTTCTTTCTAACCACTTTATTAAAGCAATCCTTAAAGGCCATCACTCTTCTTAATTTTCAGTAACTTCTGGGGTAACTCAAGGTTCTATCCTTGGTCCTTCTTTGTTTTTTACCTACATTGATAATCTTCCTGACAACCTTACACCTAAAGTGGCTCTATTTGCTGATGAATTCAACTTTCTACTCCTGTCTCAACAAAAATGTCTTTTCTTGTCAATCTATCGAAAACAGAAGACATTTTAAGCTACCCTCTTCCAAAAAGTTCCATCAACCAAAACTCATTCTCAATTGACTCACCATTCAGCAAAGTCATATCCCTTTACTGTACCTGTCCCTGCTGCATGCTCTGAAAACTTTGTCCAAATTTTCTCTTACATTTGTCTAATTTTTTCTCCCACATTACAATCTTTTAAAACTCTCTCCTATCTTCTACTTATCCTGACCCTTACAATTTACAACTTTTTAAATCTTCTGTCAACCATTTCCTTGCTCTTTAACTCTATTCTTTATTTTCTAGTAACTACCAACTTAATAGTGGTAGTTGGAAGTAAACTAAAATTAAAAATAAATTTTTTTTTTTCTAGTATAAAAAAAGTTCTGGTCAACTTAAATTTTAAAATGTCAACTATAATCATAATAATTTTTTAATTAAAAAAAAAAAAAGAAAAAATTCCGGTAAAATTTGCTTGAACTGTTCAGGCTATTTTTTATTCCTGAAACTTCAGGCGAAACAACTGAAAGTTTGATTGT